GAATGGGTACTGTAACGCTTCCACTTTTTGGCAAAACTTTCTATGTTTAATTGTCCCATTCAGAGATGGGATAAATTAGACAGTTTTGGGTTGTTAACGTGGATGTTATGTGTTACTGATTTTAATTCTGATAAAACCTTATTAAAGTACACAGTAACTAAGATATCTCTAAAGAACTGTATCGGTAGAAAAACTTACCACATTCATTTTGAGAAAAGGCATCCACAGCTAGAGCCCATTATGTAACGCAAAGTCTCAAAATGCCCCAATTTCCAACAACAATGTCAGAACGAATATTTTAGTTCCAAACTTTAACAGAAAGACGAACCATTAGTTTCCTGGTACCTGTTTAATAATAGTACGATGTTCATGATCATGAAAAGATACAATTCTTTCTTATCAGGCTCGATATTTAAAACAGTGAGATTTTCCCTCGCTTAGTACTATTATTTTGATTGTTTATTACTACTGCTTTGACTTTATTAGAACTTATTTTTATTAAAGTAATCAACGAGAGTGTCGCTTATTTAGAGGTGAATTATCATCTGTACTTTTGAGTACATCGGTTCTTTCTGAACTTGTTTGCACTTTTGATTCTTACAGTTTACAGTTTCCACATTTGCCGATCATCAGTTTACTATATCTCTTGTGAGTGTTTGAACCAAGTTTCTCCTTAAAAACCTACTGCTGGTGATTGGACAGAGCGAAATAAGCAATTGCCAGCATTCAGGCTATCGATACCCTGTGGATTACTGAAAATGATTGTACTGTAGTGGTAAATAATTCCGAATACCTGTGACATCTTCAGTGCCACGAGGTTTGCATGATTCTAACGAATGCAGCTTCCAAATTGTTTAGTAAACGTGGATGTGTGTGGTTGTGTAAGCAACGCTGACAAATTTTAAACAGCGTGCTATTCAGAACCATTAAAGTGATGAACTCTAATTTAAGGAGTATTAGCAAGCATAATCGAGACGAACTGAATGCTACTCGCTCGATTAGTACACAAATTGATCTGAAATTACCTTAAACAACCACAGTCGATTGAATCACGTGGGGTAAAGGAGATAGGACAGTCCTTAACGAAGTTTAAAGATGACACAAGCATTCGGAGTTTGACAACACCCTAACCAGTAACACCTTTTATAATCGAAATGTTCGTAGAGGTCGTAGAAAACGTGAATCACAGCATAGTAAATCGTGTCAGCCACCATTCGGTGACTTGAGGTAAGTATGCATGTTGCGTTGAAGCTACATTTCAGGTCACCTAGGTAAACAGTTGATCTCCGCCGTACTATGTGCCAGTTCTATTAGTCATAGGTATTATGAGTAATTGATCAGTGTAAGGAAATACTGTAGTCTAGCATTCAGGAGGGAAGGGGTTCAAGTGCACGTGCGGTCAGTGTGTTCGTTTACGAAACTCCCATCCATACGATGTTTACTCAAGCATGAGGAAACATAGCAATAAAAGGATGGACTAGTGTTATGATCTTGGTTTTTCTACCCACTTTTGGTGCCGAGGATACTTGTCTAATCTAGATTTCGACCTTGATGAGATAGGCTGATCGGCTTAAACTTGAGGCTAGTACGCGTGAGTTCGAGATGGGGTAGAGAGAAGAAAAACTATTCTGTCACCTGATCGGTGGCAAGCACACGAATGAGAGAATACAAGACAATTGGAACACTACTCCATCTATTCCTGACTTCAACGATTAGTGTAAAAAGGTACATGAATAAATAAGTGAATAGCCCGACCGCAACGTACAATAATTAGGAAAAATACAATTATGTCCAAAGCTGGGAATTAGAGTAGAAAATAGGGTGCAAAATATTATGTTCAAATTACAAAAGCTTCGGAATAGAAAAAGGTATGGCAGTGAATGACACATCGATCGAAAGCTTATGTTCTGTAGAACAGATTAGGGACAAAAATAAATGTCAGTGTTTTACAAGCTTTGAATAAAGTGAAATAACGTAGTTTGTCAGGGCCTCTTGTTTCCCGGTTCACATCAACTAATTTCCAAAAGTGCCATAACAAGCCACATTGGAACATCGCGTTAGCTGCTTAAAGTATGAACAGTACAAGTGTTTTCGGTTCATATTAATAGCATCAAAGTAGATACCTGAGGTGGTTTATCCCTAGCTGTTTAATAGCATCAACAGCCTCAGAAGTCAGTGTGAATTTTTTTGGTTTTCATTTAGGCGAATCTGTTAAAAGTTGCATTAATTGTGCACAACCAGGTATGCATCTTTGGTAAAGTTAATTAGACCTAGAAAACTTCCAAGTCGTGTAATAGAACTAGGTATGGAGTATTGTTTGATGACTTCAATTTCTACTTTGATTGGTGTAATCAAATATGGACACTGAAAAGACACTTACTTTGATGTATGTTTATTACATTTTCATCTAGCCGTTTTTACACTGCTCTCATATCACCTTCATTTTCCTTTGGGACCATATACAAAGTGAACGCTCATTGATTAGCAGGAGGACAGATAATACCCAGCTCTAACATGTAGTCGAATACAGCTGTAGCGATTTTAAGCTTATCTGGTCTCCTGTATCTAGCAAACACAGGCGTGGCTATAGTTTTGATCATTTGACTTAATTTCAGTTAGCTTTTGGAAGGCTGTGGGTTCGGTGAAGTTCGGAGATTCCGCGAGTATATCCTGGAACTTTGCTGTGGTTACTGGATGAGTTTGTATGAAATTGAGTAATTGTGTAATTTATAGTTTCCTTTAGTGTTAAGCGCCGTTTTTTAGTGTCAACTAGAAATTCATATCTCTAAAAAGTCCATCTGCAGTATTGTCAGAAAGAAATCAGCCACAGTGAAAACCCAGTGGAATCACATCCGGAACCCCAAAACTAACGCTAACGTTTTTCTGCCCCAATGCTGCAATTTTAGTTTTATTGGCAGCTTAAAGTGTAACTGGGATGTTTCTGGACCCAGCTCAGTTTTGCTTTGGGGAATGATACTAAGAGCAGCGCCAGTATCGACCAATAACTTTAAGTCTGAGTTTCTGTTTCTAACATAAAACAGGCGACTGTTTAGGCTCTCCTCCTCAGACCTGGGGAGGGTTTGTTTGTTTCCTGTATTATTGGAATTCTGTTTACGCAAGGCGTTTGGTTGCGTGCACTTGGTTGAGGTAACACCAAACTTCCAGTGGTACCAACAGAACTGTCCGGATTTTCTGACCTGTATTGTGACTTGGATCTTGGTCGTTGTGATAACCTGATCCTGTTTCTATGACCCAGTTACATTCTGGCGACAGTCTCAGTGAGACTCTTAACACTCTCAATGAGTCCTTTTATTACAGGGTCTTTTGAAGGTTCTTCTTTTTGTACGTGATTTATCATGCGTGATGCTCTACGCGCTAAATGAAATAAGGAGGTGTCAGGATCTTGTACATCCAGACACTGTTGGATATAGCAAAGGAGGGTTTCTGTTTATCTTTGTTTTGGGACTGCTTCATCCATTGCGTTGTCACCCACTAAGACTTGGAGGTGACGTAAAAACTGCGATGGTGAACTATCACCTAATGTTTCTTCATGATAATCTTTTGTGTTCTTTGGCCGTCGGATTATGATAAATGGTTCATTATCTGTTGTCTTAAGATGGTGTATGGTTGTTGTGACGGCGGATTTTAAGTCGAGCCACGAGCGACCTTGGAGACTAATGAAAACGAAACATAAGTCTTTGTAGCGAGTTTCTTCAGATTTGTTATTGTGTCTCGTGAAATAATGCTGCAGTTGGGCAAACCACAACTCGGGGTCACTGAGACTGAATTCTGGGAGTCAAGCTTTCATAGTCATAACAGTGTTTATCTCTACTGGTAACAAACCCTCCATGTTATGGGTTTGTATTAAATCTGCTATGAGGTATATGACCAATAAATTAAAATAATAAAGACGAGGTAAATATAACCATGTATAAATATATATACCAAAATTCGGAGAAGGATAATCAAAAGTTTAACTTTTAAGACTAAATAAAATATAACAGTAACAAGCAAATGAAATTGAATTTTTGTCATCACAAGCCAAGACTTAAAAACTACTGCACATTGCTATCTGATAGCCGCTAAAGGTTTTAGACCACTATGGTCAATGTATAGGGTTTTTGGCCATGTCGATACTAAAGTCTTTGTGACACTGTATACAGTACTTGTCCGTTCTGAACTTAAGTACTGCATACAAGCGGCTAGCTCCTGCTTAAAAAAGACAGTGAGCTTTTGGGAAAGTTTTAGATAAATACGACTAAGCTGTTTCTGAAAATAGCAAAACTCCTGTATCATGTCCGACTGGCTAAGCTCAACTTGGTCCTATTGTCATATCGAAGAATCAGAGAGGTCTTTATTACTGTTTTCAAATTACCTGTTGACAAATTTGCACTTGATATGCCTTCATTTTTTTGTCTTCCAAATCAGAGTACAGAACACCAACGTAGATGATCTATGTCGAAATGATTGGAGGCCTACTCGAGTTAGACCTGAGTGGTTTGACAAACTAGCTGACGTCGAAGTCACAGTTCGTGGTCAGCACCTTACGTGGATTACCTTATTGACGTATCAAGGTACTATAGATGCTTTGAAGACTGTACAACACAGAGGACGTTATTAGAGAAATATATTAGTTAAAGTAGATACAAGCGAAAGTGAGACCACTGCTGCATGGGCAAGTCCATGGCGTACGATCAATTGATGCGCGTTGGTGGCCTTGAACCTTGCCGAGGATCAATGATTTGTTCGACATCCAATGACCCAACTACCGGATGATTTGGCTAGGGCTCAGTGGAATTTCGCTGGCCCTACACGCTAAATAAATTGCTCATAATTCCTGTCCGAAGGTGCTGTAAAGTTTCTGTTTTCTGCTTCTGCCAATTGTTGTTTGTTTCTTGATGTTTGTTTTTTTTTCTTTGCGGTATCGTGGGAAACACGTCTCCGCAAGGTCGTGTAGGCATCCTCTCGACGGTTCTCTTTGAAAATGTCGATGTGCATATATGGGCAATAATATTTCTGACCCCTCTATTCACTTAGTAAAAAGTGATTGCTTGAGAGGCGGATTTACGATCTGTAAAAATGATAATTTCGAGGTTTCATTCCACCATACCGTTCAAACTTCATATAACAAATTTCGTATTATCAAGTACCTTAGGACACATACGACAACTAATAGGAACGATGATTCTCAAAGTGATATGAAAATTAGTACGTGTACAAACCTGCTTGCGTGTGATGATCTACTTAGCTCATCGGTAAGTTATTTCAACTATTGCTACTATTTAAGCAAGATACCTGTTAGGCTGCGTCATCCGTCCATTCTTCGTGTCCACAAGGCTTGTTCTGATGCACTTGATAGTTTGTACCTGGTGGTTGAAAACTCAGTCCCATTTAGTGCTTTCGTTACCAATCCCACCATGGATGACTTACTAGCTGGGTCCTATAGTCTTCTTTCTGCTCTCAACTTCCTGCATAATACAGTAACTCATTGTCAACTAATAACCCTTGGAGTAGCTTGGAGTTTCGCACAATAACGTGGATACTACCAGCGTATTTATTGATTCAAATATGTGTTGGAAGTTGTGCGGTTTTGAGCTCGCTCTGGAATTTAAGAATATGTCTGCTGACCATGTACGAAGAATTGAAGCTTTGAAGGGACAACAAGACGCTAAAGTGGGTTAAACAAAATTATTTGACGCTTTTCAGGCTCTAAATTTTGATCCGGCGTATGCTTTCTGTTATGATATATATTGTTTTAGCCGAATGATTTGTACGCTAACTGATATAGGCGAAGGTTTTGTACTTCTTCACTGATAATTGTTTTGTTTCTGCAGGTCCTTTCTATAATCTCGTGCAGGTTTTAATTAACTCTTGCATGCATAGTTCACCCAAAGCACGTATACCTTCTGACCACCTACTAGCTCACCCATCTTTCAAGTAAGCTTCTTCGGAATTCTTAGATTCTGTTATTTAGAAGCCCATATATATCCACATTGGACTTTCTAGACACATATGTGAGTCGTAATGATGAGGAGAAGGAAGTGTTCTTCAGGTACAAGTATTCTAAGATTTTTTTGGTTCTGTCAATTTTCATTTAATAAAGATGCACTTACGAAATCTATTCAGTACCATTTGAATTATTGTAGTTTCAATTCATTGTGTAGTCAGTCAGTCAGCTGCAACGTAGGACCAGACACATATGCATCGGTCCAAGTTGCCATACCTCATTAGCACAACAAGATGAACACCGGATTCATAGAAGTAGTTAATTCAGTGGTGGTAATATATAGAAGAAAGATTTCATATAAGGAGATAGTACAGGAAGAAACAATTAGTTCGTAGAAGGAACGATTTGAAGTGATTTCAATCACATTGTGTAGTGTTTGAAACTGTCTAAAACACAAACCTTTTAATATTCTTAGGGAGCTGACTCAAGATCTCGAGGAACAACTTGTTATATTTATTCCCGCTAAAGATTTGACTTGATTGACTTGTGGTTTTTGGTCGATGTATACTGATTCACGTAACATCGAAAACGAAATAACTACTAAACGTCATGAGTTACCTGGTTCTTTTCAAACCTGTATGACAATTCGGGCCAACATACATCTATGTCAGGCTTTATGTTGATTGTCTGTTTGTTCATCTTTTCGAACTTAAATAAGGCTGGTACCTGAATGCGGTAGTCAGCTTTTCCTATAACGACGGTCTTAGATGGGTCGTTTGGTAAGCGATGAGACTAACATCAACAAATTTATTTACTATTAAGTGTTCTGGTATGTAATAAAGGTATGGTGTTCCCCATAATTAATCGGTATCCCCAGGCATGATAATGTACCACAACGGAAAGATGGTCTAGAAACATCAAACTCAAAATTATCTCACAGATCTACGATGCTTGAGGTCCAAAAAGTTTGGGACTAGTGCTGCGGAAACTTCATGTGAAGGTTATGTGTAATTAGTCTCAAGCAGCTGTCGTTTGGGCTTTGGAGTCACTCTCCATGGTCCATAATACAACTGCTAAAGCAATTTTCTTCACGGTATGAACAATCGAAAAGTAGCAAACCCCTAATCCTGTAACAACATTTCTGTTGCTTACAATCAAACTGTTGGCTCGTTTCTCAATATTTATTCTATACCTACTATCAACCCTTTTTTAGCTACATCTGCATTTGCTACCTGCGTTAATAGAATGTTATTCCTGGTCTACTAAAACCGGCTTCCAAAATGTGAATTAGGGCCTTCAATGTTTGAACCATTTTACGTACTTGTAGTCTCGAAAGGTAAGAGTATGGGTTTCAAACCGAAAGAGGTACATTCATGGTAGACAATAACTTGCTTTGTTTAGTCAAATGGTCCACTAAGAACTTGGAAGGGTATGGATGAATTTTATTTGATTTTCATAGCCTCTGCTTATGATCCTATATTCAATTCTTTTTAACCATCGTTGCTGATTCATATGTATTTCCCCCCATCATACTGATATGAAGTTTGATAACTTGAGCTAGTGTATATTTGTGTCGAGTATTACCTTGCTTACGAGTAACTGACTTCTCGAAGAGAAAGGTAAGATTTCGACTAGGGAACTGACCTTAAAAATTTCAAAAAACCAAGTGTTTCGTCATTCTAAAGTGAAGGAATTCCCGTTTACATCTTCAGACGAACAGTACTTGTTGTATGTGATTTCCATTCAGGTAAAGATCTACTAGTCTGTTTGGTAGAATCCACTGCTTTACTGGACCACATACCTAAAACTTGACCAACTGACTTGTTCAGAGAAAGAACACAAAGACTTGTGGTCAGGTGTATTGTCCTAAAGCAAAATAACAGTATGTATAACCCGTACGTATGTATAGCTGATCAGATTTACCTTGATAACATTCAGGCAACCTACCTTCAATGAATTGTTCACTTCCAATGCCCCATCCACATTAGCATTTTACCCACTATGCAATCATGAGACATCGTGGGATCTCACTGAATCTTTTTAGCGTATCACACTCATAATGAGTCGATTGTACAAAGCACGTGAAACGCTGACCGTTAGAGATCATGCCTTTTTTCATCCGGTTTGTGCGTCCATTAATAATTTCTTCACCCTCCATCAAGTGTTTGAACAATGTTTATATATGTTTCTGTTTCTAATTCGAAACTTAGTTTTTTAACCAGTTTCTGGTAGCGCTTATTCCGACTTCAGAGAGTGAAGTAGTTAGTGTTTGTGAGCTAACGATGCCAAGGTGCCCTAGCTCAAAATCAGTCGAGGTAATGCAAATATATCCTTTTTTATCATTCTCTAACTGTCCAGTATAGGGTTGATTTATGCTTTTCATTGGAATCTTTTATTTGTATCTTTGGAGCTATATCTATTTCGTTTATTATTACATTAATATCTTTTCTGTTACTTCAGCGAGTTTACTTTTCATCTCGTTCACTTAGTCTATACAGAGTGTAGTCAGTCGCAACGTAGGACTAGGCACGTATATGCATCGGTCCAAGTTGCCATACCTCATTAGCAAAACAAGATGAACGCCGGATTCATAGAAGTAGTTAATTCAGTGGTGGTAATATATAGAAGAAAGATTTCATATAAGGAGATAGTACAGGAAGAAACAATTAGTTCGTAGAAGGAACGATTTGAAGTGATTTTATTCTCTTAGTTTAAAGGAAGACAGAGAGTGTATACACCGACTCCATTGTGATCGATTCTGAGCCATGTCACCAAGAGTCTCCAAACATTGGTTATTATAGTCACGCGGAATACAACCAGGTAGTCAGCATCTACCAACATGGCTCAGACCAGAAGTTAGTGACTTCAAGAACAGATGCCACGTTTTGGTTTGGCTACCCCTAACTTTCTTCCAATCATCCCTAATACCAGTTAGCATTGCGCGTCGTGGTAATCGGTGTTCAGGCATACGCAGCACGTGGCCTAACCATCTCAGTCGATGAAGATTCATAACCTCATCAACTGACTTACCATCATTCCCTAATACCTTGCGTTTAACTTCACTATTACTTACCCGGTGATCCCAGCAGATGCGAGCAATATTTCTAAGGCACCTTTGGTCAAATACTAGTAACTTACGAGTATCTTTTACTCTTAAAGGCCATGTTTCGCAGCCGTATAGTAGAACGGAACGAACTGCCGCGCAGTGTACTCGTCCCTTAATTGATAGACGGATATCTCGCCTTCGCCATAGATGATGTAAGTTGTCAAAGGCCAAACGAGCTTTTCGAATCCGTGCTGAGATTTCGTCAGACACCAACCTATTAGGGCTGATCAGACTTCCGAGATAAGTGAAGTTGTCAACGCGTTCGACTACTTCATTCCCTATCCTTAGTTCAGATTTTGACGCAGACCAGTTCTGATGAAACGGCTTGCATTTAGAGGGAGAGAAGCGCATCCCAAACATTCTGGCATTGTTTCTCAGTGCTACCAAAAGACTCTGCATTTCATCAGCGTCTTCATCAAACAGGACTATGTCATCTGCGTATTCTAAGTCAATAAGTGGACCTCCTGGTAGGAGATCAATGCCCGAGAATTCAGTCGATGAGAGCATTATTTCCATCAGGAGGTCTATGATGAAGTTAAACAAAAATGGAGAAAGTGGACAGCCTTGACGGACACCAGTTGAGGTTGCAAAAGCGGATGACAGTTCGCCATAAGCTCTGACTCGACTAGTAGTGTTCGAGTAAAGAGCCTTCACAAGGGTTATGTATTTCTGAGGTACGCCTTTCAATGACAGGCACTGCCACAGAACCTCTCGGTCAACAGAGTCAAACGCTGCTTTTAAGTCAAGGAGGACCACTATTGTCGGACGCCGATAAGTATGCCTGTGTTCTAGAATCTGACGAATGGTGAATATGTGGTCGATGCAGCCACGACCAGGTCTGAAGCTAGCCTGATTTTCACGTGTTTGCAGTTGACGAGTCTTAGTTAGGCGTCCGAAAATTATCGAGGCTAGTATTTTAGATACTGTATTAGTCAAACTAATCCCTCTGTGGTTGTCACAGGATGATTTTGACCCTTTCTTATATATTGGGACGATAAGTGATTGTGACCAGTTAGATGGGATAACGTCTATTTCCCAGATTTTAGCTAAAATATTAGTCAACCTAATCGCTAAGACTAGACCACCATCCTTAAAGAACTCTGGGGACAATCCACCTGGACCAGCTGCCCTTCCTCGTTTCAGATTAGCTATAGCCTTTTGAACTTCAGCTAGAGTTTGGGGACCTACTTGAATGTTCCATTCACACTGTCTGGGAATAGAGGCTAGTTGTAGAGTAGCTGAAGTCCAGCTGAACTGCTCCTTAAAGTGTTCCGCCCATCGTTCTAAGCGTCTGGACTGGGAGTAGATGAGAGTGTCGTCTTTTTCCGAAATAGTCTGACTTACACTTGACTTATTAATTCCAGTTTCTTTTATTAGTCTGTAGAGTTGTTTTGTGTTCACTATAGCCTTCGCCTTTGCCATCTCTTTTGCTTTCGTTGCCCACCACTGCTCACGATCATTCCTTAGACTTTTGCTTAACCTAGATCTGATTTGCTTACGCTCTTCATCATGTTCAGATCCTGATGGGATGAGTTTGCGAGAATCCATCAGTGCAATAGACCTTGAAGAAATCCATTGGTTCTTTGTAACCCTGTGGTTTAAATCACTAGTAGATGTCGCTGCTATTTCCACAGCTGCTTGTATAACTTTCCAAGCAACATCTGGGTCAGCCTTGTTTTCAGAACTACCTAAGTGTGACCTCAATTGTTCCTGGAACCTACTTTTGGTTTTTTCGTTACTCAGTTCAGTTCTAATGAGTCTTTTTTGTGTGGCTTTTTGATTTACATACTTGGCTTTAAAACATATTGAAAACTTGCGATACCACGGAGTCCTGCTTCGGTCTGGGCACCCGGGCAGTATCACAGTTCACACACAAATAAATTTTTGTGTGGCGCATATATATTTGGTGCCCTCTTGTACCAATATTTATGTGTTCAAATAAATAATAAATAAGATACCACGGAGTTAGCAGAACGTGTTTTTAATCTTGGAATCTGGTTGGAAGACGACTTCTTTAGACACTAAGCCATCTCCTTAGTAGTCAAAGCACAGCTTTCATCTATCGTGACTCAGATCCAAATCTAATCCTAACTACGTTAATGGACATAATCGAGTAGTATTACTGGCTCTACCCCCCAACACATAAACCTATAGTTGGCTATTAAGCTACTATTTTCTCATTTCTCGTTCTTTTTTTTGGAACCTAGATCATTTACAGAAAGTGTGTTTAACAGGATATCAGAAGAGTTATTTTGTCGCAAAATTTTACCAAAAATGTTCGAAAACACTATCTTTCTTGATTATCCGGCTCAAACCCTACTTGCGCAGATTTTCCACGCTTTCGAAGGTGTGTTTTCATTTTGATTATTAGTTTTATACCCTCATTTTTAATAGGGGAACTACTTTCCTTGTAAGGTGTTTTGTTCCATATACCTCGTAGTTGGTTTCGTTACAATTCCTTTGAACATTAATGTCAGTCAGTCAGTCACCTACAACGTAGGACTAGGCACGTATATGCATCGACCCAAGTTGCCACACCGCATTAGCACAGCAAGATGAACACCGGGTTCATAGAATTAGTTACTTCACTGGTAGTAATATATGAAAAAAAGATCGCATATAAGATTATGATACAGGGAGAAAGAATTAGTTCGTAGAAAGAAAAGTATAAAGTATTTTTAATCTCACCGTTTAAGGGCAGACAAAGAGTACATACACCCACGCCATTGTGATCGATTCTGAGCCATGTCACCAAGAGTCTCCAAACACTGGTTATTATAGTCACGCGGAATACAACCAGGTAGTCAGCATCTACCAACATGGCTCAGACCAGAAGTTAGTGACTTCAAGCACTGATGTCACGTTTTGGTTTGGCTTCCCCTAACTTTCTTCCAACCATATCCAACACTAGTCAGCATTACACGTCGTGGTAATCGGTGTTCAGGCATACGTAACACGTGACCCAACCATCTCAGTCGATGAAGATTCACGACCTCACCAACTGATTTACCGTCATTCCCTAATACTCTGCGTCTAACCCCACCATTGCTCACCCGGTGATCCCAGCAGATGCGAGCAATATTTGTAAGACACGTGTGGTCAAATACTAGTAACTTACGACTATCTTCTCCTAATGGCCACGCTTCGCTTCTGACAAAAACTGCGATTCGATTTATTCATTATGAAGTATAATCTAGAAGACTTAAAAAACTGATTTCTCATTTAGTTGGTTGTGTCATACTCTGTTAGTTGAGCTTATGCTTTTGTGTTTGCCTAGTGAAATGCTGCAGTGACGAATTTTTTTACCATGAAACCGTCGTTTTAACTAACGGCAAATTGGTAGTTTTTTTTATCTTCACACAATATAGTGACTTAAAACACACACACACATTTAGTTATTGAGTTCTCATTTTGTTTTTGTCGATAATGATTACATAACCGGATAAATATACTTTTTTGTCATCAAGTAACTTTATTCGTTTTTGGTCTGATTTTTAATCTAGAAAACCTTCAAGAGTCACCTAAATCCAAATTGATCATATCTCTTCGAAATTTTCAGAAGTTTGTCAATCCTTTAATTGTTCAAAAATTTATGGTTAATGAGAGACATACGCGTATTTTATTACTTCAGCACTTCACTGGTTATTTAAAAACACTAACTGATAGTGATTTGTTAAATGTGATATTACCACAAGTAAGTATAAATGCATTTAGTGTTTAATTTACAACATAATGTTTGTAACACAGTTACGCATAGTCTTCTTTATCCTTGCATCATGTCCTTTGGATTTCGTTGCACCATTTTACTATAACTCAGTCACTGAGTTATAGATAATTCAATAATATTAGTCAGCAACCAGAAAGAATTGTGGCTTTTATTGACAGTTTGATTTGTGATGACCTACTTCAGTAAGATAATATGGTGCGCATATTGAATACTAGATGACTGGTTAAGTGGGCTGTTAGTCTTAATTCTCAAAATCTAGTAACATCACCTGTATATCTAATGCCGACTTATATAAATTTAAACTTTAATGGTTGACCACGTTCTTGTTCATAAATAAGAAACAAGTTTATTGATTCTACACTTAGTATCGATTAAAAACAAACTGAATACTGAATAGTGTTACATAATGATCAAAATCATGGTAATTGTGCAAATCACGAGCACATATGTACGGTGAAAATTCAATGTACACTATATTTTATTCTCAGTGCATTGGTTTGTGCATATGTGTTCGATTCATTGTTGTTCGTGGACAATGTTGTATCGATTCAATATGCTATATGTAATGCTGGGATATAGCTCCCGAGCGTGACATGCGTATCGGGTTTAGGTTCCAGCTATAGGTGTTGTTTGTTGTTGAATGATTGATGTTCGGAATGCTGGAGTGTAGATTGGTGATTGTGTTGTGTGTGGTGTTTGAAGTGAATGCATTGTTGATTGTGTGTTTGTGTTTTGTTTGTGTGTGATTTTATTCTCAGTGCATTGGTTTGTGCATATGTGTTCGTGGACAATGTTGTATCGAATCAATATGCTATATGTAATGCTGGGATATAGCTCTCGACCGTGACATGCGTATGGGGTTTAAGTTCCAGCTATAGGTGTTGTTTGTTGATGAATGATTGATGTTCGGAATGCTGGAGTGTAGATTGGTGATTGTGTTGTGTGTGGTGTTTGAAGTGAATGCACTGTTGATTGTGTGTTTGTGTTTTGTTTGTGTGTGATTGAGTTGCTTTGGTTGGATGTGCTCTTCGTTTTTGTGTTCAGTGCTTTGGTTTGCGCATATGTGTTCGATTCATTGTTGTTCGTGGACAATGTTGTATCGATTCAATATGCTATATGTAATGCTGGGATATAGCTCCCGAGCGTGACATGCGTATGGGGTTTAAGTTCCAGCTATAGGTGTTGTTTGTTGTTGAATGATTGATGTTCGGAATGCTGGAGTGTAGATTGGTGATTGTGTTGTGTGTGGTGTTTGAAGTGAAGGCATTGTTGATTGTGTGTTTGTGATTTGTTTGTGTGTGATTTTATTCTCAGTGCATTTGTTTGTGCATATGTGTTCGATTCATTGTTGTTCGTGGACAATGTTGTATCGATTCAATATGCTATATGTAATGCTGGGATATAGCTCCCGAGCGTGACATGCGTATGGGGTTTAAGTTCCAGCTATAGGTGTTGTTTGTTGTTGAATGATTGATGTTCGGAATGCTGGAGTGTAGATTGGTGATTGTGTTGTGTGTGGTGTTTGAAGTGAATGCATTGTTGATTGTGTGTTTGTGTTTTGTTTGTGTGTGATTGAGTTGCTTTGGTTGGATGTGCTCTTCGTTTTGTGTTCAGTGCTTTGGTTTGCGCATATGTGTTCGATTCATTGTTGTTCGTGGACAATGTTGTATCGATTCAATATGCTATATGTAATGCTGGGATATAGCTCCCGAGCGTGACATGCGTATGGGGTTTAGGTTCCAGCTATAGGTGTTGTTTGTTGTTGAATGATTGATGTTCGGAATGCTGGAGTGTAGATTGGTGATTGTGTTGTGTGTGGTGTTTGAAGTGAATGCATTGTTGATTGTGTGTTTGTGTTTTGTTTGTGTGTGATTGAGTTGCTTTGGTTGGATGTGCTCTTCGTTTTTGTGTTCAGTGCTTTGGTTTGCGCATATGTGTTCGATTCATTGTTGTTCGTGGACAATGTTGTATCGATTCAATATGCTATATGTAATGCTGGGATATAGCTCCCGAGCGTGACATGCGTATGGGGTTTAAGTTCCAGCTATAGGTGTTGTTTGTTGTTGAATGATTGATGTTCGGAATGCTGGAGTGTAGATTGGTGATTGTGTTGTGTGTGGTGTTTGAAGTGAAGGCATTGTTGATTGTGTGTTTGTGATTTGTTTGTGTGTGATTTTATTCTCAGTGCATTTGTTTGTGCATATGTGTTCGATTCATTGTTGTTCGTGGACAATGTTGTATCGATTCAATATGCTATATGTAATGCTGGGATATAGCTCCCGAGCGTGACATGCGTATGGGGTTTAAGTTCCAGCTATAGGTGTTGTTTGTTGTTGAATGATTGATGTTCGGAATGCTGGAGTGTAGATTGGTGATTGTGTTGTGTGTGGTGTTTGAAGTGAATGCATTGTTGATTGTGTGTTTGTGTTTTGTTTGTGTGTGATTGAGTTGCTTTGGTTGGATGTGCTCTTCGTTTTGTGTTCAGTGCTTTGGTTTGCGCATATGTGTTCGATTCATTGTTGTTCGTGGACAATGTTGTATCGATTCAATATGCTATATGTAATGCTGGGATATAGCTCCCGAGCGTGACATGCGTATGGGGTTTAGGTTCCAGCTATAGGTGTTGTTTGTTGTTGAATGATTGATGTTCGGAATGCTGGAGTGTAGATTGGTGATTGTGTTGTGTGTGGTGTTTGAAGTGAATGCATTGTTGATTGTGTGTTTGTGTTTTGTTTGTGTGTGATTTTATTCTCAGTGCATTTGTTTGTGCATATGTGTTCGATTCATTGTTGTTCGTGGACAATGTTGTATCGATTCAATATGCTATATGTAATGCTGGGATATAGCTCCCGAGCGTGACATGCGTATGGGGTTTAAGTTCCAGCTATAGGTGTTGTTTGTTGTTGAATGATTGATGTTCGGAATGCTGGAGTGTAGATTGGTGATTGTGTTGTGTGTGGTCAGTCCGTCAGTATGTCAGTCAGTCAATCAGTAACAACTTGGAACTTCGTACGTACGTACATCAGTTCGAGTTGCCATACCACATTAGCACAGAGATTCAGTTATCGATTGAAATCCCATGGTGGTTGAGGTACTGAAAGTATAAGTAGAGATAGGGGACATTAAGGTTTGATGATGTTATTAAAGGAGTATAGTCCAGTGGAATAAATTGGAAAGAAAATAAAGGAAATGAAGAATTCAGAAGATTAGAGTTTAGAGAACACAAAGAGTGGATGCACCTGCGCCATTGCAAACGATTTTGAGCCATGTCATTGAAGATCTCTAACAATCGGTTGCTATCGTCTTGCGGATCCCAACTAGGTAGTTCACATCTACCAACATGGCTCAGTCCACTTGTCAGTGACTTCATGGATTTGTGCCATGTTTTGATCTGGTCGCCCCTAGCTTTCTTCCAACGTAATCATACACGATAAAGCATCGCACGTCGGGGCAGTCGGTGGTCGGGCATGCGCAACACATGCCCCAGCCATCTCAACTGATTAAGTTTCACTATTTCATCAATTGATTTGCCATCCTTACCTAGTACCCGTTTCTTAACAACTGCATTACTTACTCGGTGGTCTCAGGATATACGGGCAGTGCTTCGAAAACACCTATGATCAAATACTAGTAACCTACGAATATCCTCTACTTTTGCCGGCCATGTTTCACTGCCATAAAGTAGGACGGAACGAACTGCTGCGCAGTAAACCCGTCCTTTGGTTGATAGACGGATATCTCGCCTACGCCACAAATGACGCAAGTTGGCAAAAGCTAGTCGTGCCTTTTGTATCCGTGCTGAGATTTCGTCACACACCAAACCACAAGGGCTGATGAGACTTCCGAGATAAGTGAAGCGGTCGACACGCTCAACTACTTCACTCCCTATCACTAGTTCGGGTGTCGACGCAACCCAATCCTGAAGCAACATTTTGCATTTCGAGGGAGAAAATCGCATGCCGAACAGGCTTGCATTGTTGCTTAGAGTGGTCAGCAGACTCTGCATTCTGTCAGCGTCTTCACCAAATAGAACTATGTCATCGGCATACTCTAAGTCAACAAGTGGATCTCCCGGTAGAAGTTCAACTCCTGGAAATTTAGATGAGGAAAGTGTCATCTCTAAAAGGACGTCAACGACAAAGTTAAACAAGAATGGGAGAGTGGACAGCCTTGACGAACACCACTTGAGGTAATCAATTCTGATGACAGTTCGCCATAAGCTCTCACTCGACCAGCTGTGTTCGAGTAGAGAGCCTGTATGTACTCCTTTGGTACTCCTTTCAGCGACAAACACTGCCATAGAACCTCACGATCAACAGAGTCAAATGCCGCCTTAAGGTCGAGAAATACTACCATTGTGGGGCGTCTGAATGTGTGTCTATGTTCTAGGACCTGACGTAGTGTGAATATCTGATCTATAAAACCACGTCCAGGTCGAAAACCAGCCTGGATTTCTCTAGTCTGCTCTTCACGAGCTTTGGTTAGACGTCGAAGTATTATTGAAGCTAATATTTTAGACACTATATTAGTCAAACTAATTCCTCTGTGACTGTCACAAAACGACTTTTTTCCTTTCTTATAGACTGGCACAATCAGTGATTGAGACCAGTCAGATGGGATTACGTCCAGTTCCCAGATTCTACCTAAGACCTCAGTCAATCTCGCTGCTAATACTGGACCGCCATCCTTAAAAATCTCAGGGGTAAACCTGTCAGGGCCTGCTGCTCTCCCACGCTTCAGATTTCCTATAGCTTTTTCAACTTCGTAAAGAGTCGGAGGACTTACATCAACTTGCCATTCAGGTCGACTGGGGATCGTGGGAAACCGAAGTGTGGCTGAAGGCCAGTTGAACTGATCCCTAAAGTATTCTGCCCATCGATCCAATCTCCTGGATTGAGAATGAATAATATGTCCATCTTTCTCTAACATAGTTTCGCTAACAGTTGGGTTCCTAATCCCGGTTTCCT